AATTTTCAGAAGCCCTAAAGAACAGTATCTAGTAAGGGTAGGATGACTGCATAAAGTGCTGATGTAAAGTAAGGAGGAGCCTGAAAGGTGGGATGATGACAAAGCCTAGGGTATGAATTTTCCCATCCAGTATGTGGTCTTTTGTTGCCATCATATAATCTGCCCTACTCTGTTTTATGTACATATCTTGCTCTATTTGGGTTTTAAAAATGTAGCCCATATCTTATTTTATTTGCATACCAGCACCTACCACAGTTTCGATCACATAATGAACAGTTAAGTAATAATGATTAAAATGATTCTGATTTTCATCTGTTCACTAACAGAGTTCAAGCAGATATTCTACAAGATATCTTCAGATATGATTTTTGTACTTTCAGAAATAAATAATCCTGTGTTTGCTTCTAGAACACCCACGCATCAAAGCTACACTTCAATCTGAATTTTTTTTTCCTAAGGAGAAGCTTTTGTACATGGCTGTACTTGCTTACAGCATTGTAAAAACTACCTAAGATTTTAAAATCCTCCTGCAGTCAGCCCTTACAGAAGGACAGTAAAATGCTAAGAATGCCTCAACTGTCTGGGTGATTTCTCCCACCTCTGCTCACTATTACTGCTGACTTGGGCAAGTACACCTGCTGTTCAAGGGCCATCTGAAATTACCTCCAAAAATGAAGCACTTTGAGAATGAGGCTTATAATTAAACAATAAATGAAGTTTCCTGTAGTTTTATGCACAAATCTTATCTAATGCCTAAGTAGATAAATTGTGTGGTTTAAAAGTCCAAATAAAATTAGGTATTTGTACAAGTGAGGTCTCTGCTCAGCAACTTTGCTTTCTTTAGGACCTAACCTAATTTCCAGTGCTGTTGTCAGAACACCTGCCTGACACTAATGTGATCATTAATCAAGATATGCTAACCTGACTGGATTAAGAAACACCTAGTAAATTGGTTGTGGTGCTGCAATGCCAGCCTTCCGGAAGGCTGAAAGAATATCACAAATCTGAGCCCTGTCTGGGTAACTTAGTGACTTAGCAAGAGCCTGTCTCTGTATAAAAAATAAAAGAGACTGGTAATATAATTCAGGGTAAAAGCTCTGGTTTCAATCCCCAGTACCACCAAGAATGAAGAAAGGAGGAAGAGAAAGAGGAGGAGGAGGAGAAGGAGGAGGAGGAGGAGGAGGAAGAGGAGGAGGACGAGGACGAGGACTAGGATGAGGACAAGGACAAGGACGAGA